GGCCTGTAGTTTTCTGGATTACTTTTTTCTCCTCCTTCTTAAATATAGGTCTACAACATTTGCTATTCTCCAATCATATAGTACTAGCCCGATTTGATCATTAATTACAAATCCTTGCCACTGGACTTGCACTTTAATGTGTCAGTTCTTTCTGTATTCTGGTCTGGAGATCCCCCCAACTTGAATGCATTAAACTCTATGTTTTCCTTCCTCCATGGATTTGGTAGTTTCCATTTCTATATACTCATTCCCATCAGCCGTCCTGCCTTTGCCCCTATGTTTAGAGCCCTGCGCAGATACACACTCCTGTCCAGGAACGTGCAAGCTGCTTGCACACACTAGTGTGAACAGGGATAGCTGCCGGGGAACTGGTGCCCACCCTAGTGGGCAGGCTTGGGGGCGATACAGCCACGTTGGAGGAGCTGCCTGGGCTGGGCATTGGCTCTTGTGAGCAACGGCCCAACATGCTGCTGTTTTCGCCACTGCAGTTCCTGGCCCAGTTGCCGGGCATGGCCCTGCTGGTCTCGCTCGTTGTCACTAGAGCCCTGCAAATCCACGGATATCCGCTTTATATCCATGGATATAAATTGTTTATCTGCACAGGGCTCTACCCATGTTCTACATCACCGTTATTATTGACAACTGAGGCAAATTATTCATTTAGTTTTGGAGCTATACCTAGATTATCCTTACTCTCTACCTCATCCTCACTGCATAGCAGCCCCACTCTTTTCCTAAAGAACCTTTTACTATTTATTTTATTTTCCTTCTAATTCAGCTTCACTTCCAGCAACTCTCTTTATTCCTACACTCTCTGATATCCAAAACAGAGCTTTCTTTGCTGATCAATCCCTCCTTCCATTCTTTGTAGGCCCCTGCTTACTCCTGATATCCTTTTTGAAGTGTTTATTCATTCAGTTAGATCTGGAGTCCTTCCCTACAAATTTTATGCCCTTGTTTGGGATGCAAATTTCAGATGGAATTTCTTTAAGTCAAAGGTAGAAAAAGTAAGTCTCCTCCACATTGAAGTCCCTGAGCTCTACAGTCCAGTTGATTTCACTAACTAGTTCCCTTAATTTATCAAATTCTTCCCTTTTGCAATTGAAAACCTTAGTTATGACCTGATTTTGATTATCCTTTTGATTATCCTTCCATTTGATTTAAACTGAATCAACTTGTGATCACTTGATCCAGCGTTATTTTCTACAACCAGATCTTCTATACTGTCCTCACTACTTACACCAAAACCAAGTCTAAAATAGCATCGCCTCAGGTTGGTTCAGTGACTACTTGGTGAAGAAATCTGTTAGCTATCACATCCAGAAATAAGTGGGCCCTACCACCACCTTTCCCTTTTTTTCCCCCTTAACAACACATACCTTCAACACTTGTCTTCCAGCTATTAGTGCTAGTCCACCATGTTTCTGTTATCCCTATAATGCCCTTCACCAATAGTTCCCATTCCTCCATTTTGTCACCAAGACCATAGGCACCGACTCCATGGGTGCTCCAGGGCTGGAGCACCCATGGAGAAAAATTGGTGGGTGCTCAGCACCCACCGGCAGCTCCCTTCCTCCCCCAGCTCACCTCCGCCTCTGCTCCGCCTCCTCCCCTGAGCACGCCATGTGCCCGCTTTTTCCCCCTATCTCCCAGCGCTTGCGCTGCGAAACAGTTGTTTCATGTGGCTGGGAGGGGGGAGGAGGAGGGGAACGCTGCGCACTCGGGGAAGATGTGGGGCCGGGGCAGGGATTTGGGGAAGGGGTCCAATAGGGGCAGGGAGGGGGCGGAGTTGGGGCAGGGACTTTGGGGAAGGAGTTGGAATGCGGGTGGGACAGGGCGGGGAAAGGGTGGAGTCTGGACAGGGCGGGGGGCACGAGCACCCACCGGCGCCGGGGAAAGTTGGCGCCTATGGCCGAGGCTCCTCGCATTAGCACAAAAACATCTCAATTGTTTTCTCTCTGACCTCACTCAACTTCTTAGCAGGATTTGGCATAGTCCTTTTGCTGTCCATATGCCTATCTTCTGGTGTTCATTTATCCATTACTATATTCTCACTTACCTGATTTTCCTATTCCTGTATATTAAAACCATGTGTGAAGATTAAACAAGTCTCTCCTAACTTCTAGCAATGAAACCAATAAAAGAGGAAGAGATTGGAAGAATGCAGAATAAGTGTATGTCTTCACTACCCGCCAGATCGGCGGGTAGCAATCGATCTATTGGGGATCGATTTATCACGTCTCATCTAGACGTGATAAATCGATCATGGAACGCGCTCCCCGTCGACTCCGGAACTCCACCAGGGCGAGAGGCGGAAGTGGAGTCGACAGGGTAGCCGCAGCCATCGATCCCGCGCCGTGAGGATGGGAGGTAAGTCGATCTAAGATACGTCGACTTCAGCTACGCTATTCTCATAGCTGAAGTATCTTAGATTGATTCCCCCCCACCCCCCAGTGTAGACCAGTCCTAAGAGAGAGGTAGGAAGACGGAAAGCAGAGCAACTAAATAAAGCATCAGTTAGGGTCTTGCAATAGAACTTTAAACCGATAACAAATATGAGATGTGTTAAAGCTGGACAATACATGCAGACACCAAGAGTAAGCAGCATGACACTGCTAGTGTAACCCACACACCTCCCGGCCTGTGGGAGTGTGGAAATGGTGCTTGGGGCGTGGGCAGCGCGCTGAGCCCCATGGCCCCCCGCCTAGGAGCCAGACTTGCTGCTGGCCGCTTCCGGGGCGCAGCGCAGTATCGGAACAGGTAGGGACTAGCCTGCCTTAGCTGGGCAGCACTGCCGACGGGACTTTAAACAGCCCGGTCAGTGGTGCTGACCAGAGCCACTGCGACCCAGTACTTTACATTCTGTGACCCAGTACTGGGTCACGACCCCCAGTTTAAAAACCACTGCTCTAGTGGAACTGAGACCACTTAGAGATTGATGAGTCTGCTACAGCCTTAGCTAAGAGCCATGTGGCTTTTAGCTCATGCAGCAGAGCAGGGGCGGGCAAACTTTTTGGCCCGAGGGCCACATCTGGGTATGGAAATTGGATGGTGGGCCATGAATGCTCACAAAATTGGGGGTTGGGGTGTGTGGGGGGGTGCAGGCTCTGGGGTGGGGCTGGGGATGAGGGGTTGGAGGTGCAGGAGAGTGCTCCGGGCTGGGACCGAGGGGTTCAGAGGGCGGGAGGGGGATCAGGGCTCGGGCAGGGGCGTGGGGGAATGGCTCAGGGGTGCAAGCTTCAGGTGGTGCTTACCTCAAGGTGCTCCCAGAAGCAGGGCATGTCCCCCCTCCAGCTCCTAAGCAGAGGCATGACCAGGCAGCTTTGTGCCCTGCCCCATCCGCAGGTGCTGCTCCTGCAGCTCCCATAGGCCGCGGTTCCCAGCCAATAGGAACTGCGGGGATGGCGCTTGGGGTGGGGGCAGTGTGCAGAGCCCCTTGGCTGCCCCTGTACATAGGAGCCAGATGGGGGACATGCCGCTGCTTCCGGGAGCCACGCAGAGTCATGGCACGCGCGGAGCAGGGCAAGCCCCCAACCCCACTTCCCAGCTGGAGCTCGAGGGCTGGATTAAAACGTCTGAAGGACTAGATGTAGCCTCCGGGCCATAGTTTGCCCACCCCTGCAGTAGAGGCTCAGGCATTTAGCTCCAGAGGTCCCAGGTTGAATCCTGCCCGCAGGTCGTCCTCGCTCCCAAACACACCCATCCCATTTCCCCATTACCTCATCACTCCACACACGCTCCCCCCCGACACCCAGCCCCACGTTCCCCCATTACCTCAGCACCCCACACACACTCCCACCCGCATCCAGCCCCACATTCCCCCATTACCTCAGCACCCCACACACGCTCCCCCCACATCCAGCCCCATGTTCCCCCATTACCTCAGCACCCCACACATGTTCCCCCCCGCATCCAGCCCCACGTTACCCCAATACCTCAGCACCGCCCACACACTCCTCCCATTTCCCTCAGTTACCTCATTACCTGCCATACACTCCCCCCTCACCCAACCTTACACTCTCCCCCCCAGTTACCTCATCACCCCAAACATACTTCCACCTGCACCCAGCCCCATGCTCCCCCGTTACCTCAGCACCCCCCACACACCACAGGGTGATTACAGTTTTGTGAGGCCCTGGGCCAGAGCAAGTGGAGGCCCTCTCCCCCCACCCTTTCCGTCTGCAGTCCCTCCCCCCGTCGCACTCCTGCTGGGGAAATGGGATCGGGGCATGTGGGCATGCCCCATCCCACCCACCCCCCCACCTGGCACTCCTGCCAGGGAGCTGGTTCAGGGCACAGGGGTGACCATTTTTCCAGGGCTCCCCAATTGGCCAGGACCCCTGGGCATAGGCCCTGTTAGTCCAGTGGCTAATCCACCACTGCTATTCACTCCTCCCCGCAATCAACCCCACATTCCCACGTTAACTCAGCTCCCCTCACATGCTCCCCCGTTATCTCAGCACCCCCACGTGCTCCCCCCATTATCTCACCACTCCCCACACGTTCCCCCTACACCCAGCCCCATGATCCCCCATTACCTCAGCACCCATCATACACTCCCCACCACACCCAACCCAACACTCCCCTCTACTGCAGCATGCCCCACGTGCTCTCTCTCCTGCACTCTGCTTCATGTCCCCCCAGTTACCTCAGCACTCCCCACGCTCCCTGCACACAGACCAGAGCTCTCTCTCCTGCTGCCCTGCATCTAGCCCCCCAGCTCTCTCCCCTATATTCTTCACCTGTATCCAACTCCATGCTCTCCCCTCCTGCTGCCCCCCCCCCCGTAGTTTTCATCCTGCACAGCCCCACTCCCACACTTCCATTTCCACACTGCCTCTCCGATCCCCACGCTCTCACCCGGCCCCAAACCCAGACCCACGCTCTCCATGCTCCAGTGCCAGGTCTGAATTCACCCCCTATAGCCAGCCCCAGCCGCCCCATACCCAGCTCTGAGTTCACCCCCCGGGCCCGCCCCCATGCCCGGCCCAGGCTCTTACCCAGAGAAGCGGTCAGGCTGAAGAGCAGCATGGCCAGCAGGGGCCAGGCGGGTCGGGGGCCCCCATTCGCCATCCTCCTCCCGCTCCCCTGGAAGCACCAGGAGGCCGGTGGTGCCACGGGCCGCGGCGGGCAGGCGGAGCGATCCGCTCCGGGCCCGGCGGCGCAGGGAACCCGACCGACAGCGGCAGCTCCAGCCCCGCCGCCCCCTCCTCCTGGGACGGCTTAACCCGGCCCCTGTTGCAGGGCTGCGAGAGCCGTGTCCAGCGCAGGCGGTGCCCAAGGCCAGTCCGGAGTCAGACCCCAAACAAAGAGAGCTGTCACCGTCAGTGCGTGTCCAGTGTGTGCATATGTGTGTGTGCCTAGTGTGTGTGCGTGCCCAGCGTATCTCCCTGTGTGTGTCTGTGTGTGCCCCGTGTGTCTCCCCCAGTGTGTGTGTGCTCAGTTTGTGTGCGTGCCTAGTGTGTGTGTGCTCATTGTGTCTCCGCCTGTGTATGTATGTGCCCAGTGTCTTCCCCAGTGTGTGTGTGTGCTCAGTTTGTGTGTGTGCATGCCTAGTGTGTGTGCCCAGTCTGTCTCCCGCCATGTGTATGTGTGCCCAGTGTGTCTCCCCCAGTGTGTGGAGCCCAGTGGGTGCGTTTGCCCCCAGTGTGTGTCTGTCTCCAGTGCATGTTCACATACCCTGTGTGTGCGTGTCTGCCCAGTGTGTCTCACCCAGTTAGGTTTGGAGTCTCCAGGAATTAAAGATAAAGTTTAATTAAAGATTAATGTCATGTGATGAAACCTCCAGGAATATGTCCAACTAAAATTGGCAACCCTATCCCGAGTGTGTGTGTGTGCCCAGTGTCTCCCTCAGTGTGTGTGTGTCTGTATGCCCAGTGTGTGTGCACCGTGTGCATTCGTACCCAGTGATGTCTGTGCCCAGTGTGTCTGCCTCAATTGTGTGCATGCCCAGTGTGTGCACCCCCAATGTCTGCTCCCAGTATGTGTGTCCCCAGTGTGAATGTGTGTGTGAGCACACCCCCAATGTGTGTGTGCATGTGTCTGCCCCCAGTGTGTGTGTGTGACCCCAGTGAGTGTGTGTGTGCCCGGGGTGTGCATGGGTGGGTGTCCGCCCCCAGATGTGTTTCCAATATGTGTTATCCACAATGTGTATGTGTGTGCCCAGTGTATGTGTGGGTGTGTGTCCACTCTCAGTGTGTGTGTCTGCCCCCAGTGTGTGTGTCTACCCAGTGTATGTGTGGGTGTGACGGCTTCCCCCCGGGGTGCAGCCTGGGACCGAGAGCCACTCATGAATCACACAGAGAAAGGCACCAGCCAAATCCCCCCCAGTTCCCAGCACTGTACCTCAGGAATATACCGTCTTGCACTGCTCAAGATGGGCAGTGCAAATTTATTAATTGGTTCACCACTTCAGCAATGGAAAGTGGATATACACCAGCCTTTGCCAACCTGAGCAGATTCACCCCACACTTCATACAAACTCACTGGTAAAGATAAACAATTAAACAAATGTATTGACTATAAAAGGTAGATTTTAAGTGATATTAAGTGATCGGCAAAAAGTCAGAGTGGTTACCAAAATAAAATAAAATATAAGCATGCAGTCTGAACTCTCAACCCTATTAGACTGGGCAACATCTAGATTAACCCCACTGGATATTGCAGTCCTTAATATACAGGTTTGTTCCTTAAACCTGGGCCAATCTCCTCTTTTGGCGTCTTGTCTTCTTCTCAGTGTGTTGGTTGCTTGCAGCATAGGTGGGGGCAGGAGAAGGGTCCAGTAATGTCCGCTCTGTCTGTTTTATACCCTCAGTCCATGTGCTTGGGGAGCACAAGTCCAGGCATGTCTGGGTGGGCATTACTGAGTCTCCAGGCAAGTCTTGAGCAATTCCCCTGGTGTGGCCTCATGTAGGTGAGTCATTGCATTGTAGCTCCTTTGTTGGACAATGGCTATTGATGGGTTGTTTGACACACTGCCTGGGCATTGGTTACTTTCCTTGCTGTTGCCTCTGGGGAGCTAATATCTAGCTGAGTCCCCAACTTACATCATGTTTTAGTGACAACCATACAACCCAATTCTCATAACTTCATATGCATTAATGATACACATATACGGATAGAGAAATGACTTTCAGCAGATCATAACCTTTCCCCTGATGCCTTACAAGGCATGCTTTATATGTAAGATCACGATTATATGAAAATGAGGAATATGGGGTTACAGTACGCTTCCCCAAGGTATACAATGTCACAGTGGGTCTCTGCCCCAGTCTGTGTGTGTGTGTCCAACTACAGTGTGTGTGTGTCCCCAGTGTGTGTGCATGTCCCCAGTATGTGGATATGTGCCCAGTATGTGTGTGTGTCAGCCCACAATATGTGTGTGTGTACCCAGTGTGCATATCCCTGTGTGGGTGTGGGTGTCCCTGCCTCCAGTATGCATGTGTGAATGCACCTCCAGTGAGTGTGTGTGTGTGTCCAGTGTGAGTAGGGTGTTTCCAGTCTCTGCTCCCAGTGTGTGTGTGTAGGTGTGTGCCACCAGTGTGTGCATGCGCCCCCTGTGTGTGGGTGTGTGCACGTGTGCCCCCAGTGCATGCCCCCAATGTGTGTGTGTGCTCCCAGTGTGCCCCCAGTGTGCATGTGCTCCCCCAGTGTCTATGCATGTGCATGCCCCTAGTATACATACACGTGCATGCATGTGTGCACCCTAGTGGGTGGGAGTGAGAGGAGACATGGTGCATGTGCATGCTTGCACCCTCACTATGAGCATACAGTGAGTGGGTGTGAGACACAGCATGCATGCACGCACATCCCCAGTGTGTGCATGTCCATGTGCACACCCAGTGGGAGGCTAAGACAAGTGTATGTGTGCATGTCTGCAAGCGTGTGTGTGTGTGTGTGTATGCCCCCATGGATGAGTGTGAGACACAGTGTGTGTGTATGCCCCCCAGTAGGAGGGTGTGAAACAAGGGGTTTGTGTGTGTGAGAGAGAGTCATCAGGAGACTGGGTACTGGCTAGGGTCCAGAGTCATCCCATGTTCCCCAGGAGTAGAGAAGCTGCTCCCATGTCATTGATTCTTGGTGGCACTAGTATGAGATGAATTTGGTGGGTCTCCAATCCAGCTCCTATATCACAAACCCACCACTAGCTTTTTCAGTAACTCGCAGACTCAGCAGGCAGGCGAAGAGCTGCTTGGGCTGTGGAGTGTGAATGATCCCTGTCACCCCTAGAGGAAGTTCCCCTGGGATGAGGCCTGCTGGCAGGGCAGTGTGTCTGAGCAGTCTGCCCGGCTACTGCCTTGCAGATAGAGGATTCCATTCATCAGGGTCATCAAAGAGATGCCATTCACCAACATTAAATCCACCCACCATTTGTTTTATACTTCAATATATGGTCATGCAAATTATCTCCACATATGCAAATTATCATATTGAATAATTTGCATAAAGTGATTGGGCAACAGGAAGCTGGTCCTTATTCTCCATTGCACTAGATACACACATAAACCAAGCTCTGTTTCCTAGGAGACTCTGGAGAAGGAAGATCATCTTTCCATGCTAATGCCCAGAGCAAAATGTTCATGGAAATCCATCCAGAAAATATACCATAGAGGAGCAGGAGTTCCTCTTTCACAGGAATAATTGCCAGGAAGTGTTGGGAGCTCTTTAAAGTTGTGGGAACTGGGGGAGGCCCTCCTGACACCGTTGTCAGTGTGCCCCCAACTATGTCACCATACAGAGCTGCCTGCTGGGGAGTGGGTGATAGCAGGGTAATACCCGTATAGAGCCCCCTGCTGGGGAAGGAGATAGTAACAGGGTAATACATGCACAAATTCCTTTGCTGTGGGGTGGGGGGAAGAGGGATGGTAACAAAGTAACACCCGCACAGATCCCCCTGCTGCGCGGGGGGGTAGGGGAGGGGAAGGGGAATGATAGCAGAGTAACACCTGCACAGAGCCCTCTATCGGGGAGGGGAGGGTAACCATAGAATCACAGAATCATAGAAGATTAGGGCTGGAAGAGACCTCAGGAGGTCATCTAGTCCAACACCCTGCTCAAAGCAGAAACAACCCCAACTAAATCATCCCAGCCAGGGCTTTGTCAAGCCGTGCCTTAAAAACGTCTAAGGATGGAGATTCCACTACTTCCCTAGGTAACCCATTCCAGTGCTTCACCACCCTCCTAGTGAAATAGTTTTTCCTAATATCCAACCTAGACCTCCCCCACTGCAACTTGAGACCATTGCTCCTTGTTCTGTCATCTGCCACCACTGAGAACAACCTAGCTCCATCCTCTTTGGAACCCCCCTTCAGGTAGTTGAAGGCTGCTATCAAATCCCGCCTCACTCTTCTTTTCTGCAGACTAAATAAGCCCAGTTCCCTCAGCCTTTCCTCATAAGTCATGTGCTCCAGCCCCCTAATCATTTTTGTTACCCTCTGCTGGACTCTCTCCAATTTGTCCACATCCTTTCTGTAGTGGTAGGCCCAAAACTGGACACAGTACTCCAGATATGGCCAGTGCCGAATAGAGGGGAATAGTCACTTCCCTCGATCCGCTGGCAATGCTCCTAATAATGCAGCCAATATGCCGTTAGCCTTTTTGGCAACAAGGGCACACTGTTGACTCATATCCAGTTTCTTGTCCATTGTAATCTCCAGGTCCTTTTCTGCAGAATTGCCGCGTAGCCAGTTGGTTCCCAGCCTGTAGCAGTGCATGGTATTCTTCCATCTTAAGTGCAGGACTCTGCACTTGTCCTTGTTGAACATCATCAGATTTCTTTGGGCCCAATCCTTCAATTTGTCTACGTCACTCTGGACCCTATCCCTACCCTCCAGAATATCTACCTCTCCCCCTTAGTGTCATTTGTGAACTTGCTGAAGGTGCAATCCATCTCATCATCCAGATCATCAATGAAGATGTTGAACAAACCTGACCCCTGGGGCACTCCGCTTGATACGGGCTGCCAACTAGACATGGAGCCATTGATCACTACCTGTTTAGCCCAACAATCTAGCCAGCTTTCTATCCACCTTATAGTCCATTCATCCAATCCGTCCTTTTTTAACTTGCTGGCAAGAATACTGTGGGAGACCGTATCAAAAGCTTTGCTAAAGTCAAGATATATCACGTCCACTGCTTTCCCCTCATCCACAGAGCCAGTTATCTCATCATAGAAGGCATTCAGGTTGGTAAGGCATGACTTGACCTTGGTGAATCCATGTTGACTGTTCCTGATCACCTTCCTCTCCTCCAAGTGCTTCAAAATGGATTCCTTGAGGACCTGCTCCATGATTTTTCTGGGGACTGAGGTGAGGCTGACTGATCTGTAGTCTCCCAGATTCTCCTTCTTCCCTCTTTTAAAGATGGGTACTACATTAGCCTTTTTCCTAACGTCTGGGACCTCCCCGGATTGCCATGAGTTTTCAAAGA